CCCTTTATCTTATTGTATTTTCTTGCTTTCTTTTCTGTATTGATTACTTATTACCATTCTCTACATTTTGACTCCCATGAAATAACACTTAGATTCTTCTCCACACGCTTTTCTGACAATTCCGTCTATAACGTCTGTATGAGTTGTGCCTTTATCTTCCCACCTTTTAAGTATTGGCACCACTCACAGATGTTACCACTCCGAGACCTGTTCCACACCCAGTATACTTCTAAGGCTACGTGTGTTTCACATTACATTTTAACTGCCATGTAAATGTTTCTCAAATTATTGTTATATCTCTAGTTCAGAATTTGGTCTTGAACTTTAGACCAATATAGTCATCACCTTCTAGACGCTAATATTTCTATAATTTCTAAATTAATTAAATTTTAAGGCTTCATTCCGGGGATTCAATGCTGGTTCGACATATGCAAGTCTATAAATATAATTCACCGCATAAACAGAACCAAAGACAAAAACCACACGAGTACCTCAGTAGATGCAGAGAAGGCCTTCAACAAAATTCATCAGCCCTTTATGCTAAACACTCTCAATAAACTAGGTATCGAAGGAACATATCTCAAAATAATAAAAGCTATTTACCACAAACCTACAGCCAATATCATACTGAATGGGCAAAAACTGGAAGCATTCCCTTTGAAATCTGGCACTAGACAAGGATGCCCTCTCTCACCACTCGTATTCAATATAGTATTGGAAGTTCTAGCCAGAGCAATTAGGCAAGAAAAAAATAATAATAAAAGGTATTCAATTAGGAAAAGAGGAAGTCAAATTGTTTCTATTTGTAGATGACATGATTGTATATTTAGAAGACGCTATCATCTCAGCCCAAAATCTCCTGAAACAGATAAGCAACTTCAGCAAAGTCTCAGGTTACAAAATCAACGTGCAGAAATCACAAGCATTTCTATACACCAATGACAGACTAACAGCCAAATCATGAGCAAGCTCCCATTCACAATTGCTACAAAAAGAATAAAATACCTAGGAATACAACTAACAAAGGATGTAAAGGACCTTTTCAAGGAGAACAACAAATCACTGCTCAAGGAAATAAGAGGACACAAACAAATGGAGAAACATTCCATGCTCATGGTTAGGAAGAATCAATATCCTGAAAATGGCCATACTGCCCAAAGTAATTTATAGATTCAATGCTATCCCCATCAAGCTACCAATGACTTTCTTCACAGAACTGGAAAAAAAATGTGGCACATATACACCATGGCATACTATGCAGCCATAAAAAACGATGAGTTCGTGTCCTTTGCAGGGACATGGATGAATCTGGAAACCATCATTCTCGGCAAACTGACACATGAACAGAAAATCAAACACTGCATGTTCTCACTCACAGGTGGGTGTTGAACAATGAGAACACATGGACACAGGGAGGGGAGCATCACACACTGGGATCTGTAGGGGGGTGCCAAGAGAGGGACAGTGGGGGGGTAGGGAGGTTGGGGAGGGATAACATGGGGAGAAATGCCAGATGTAGGTGAGGGGGGGATGTACACAGCAAATCACATTGCCATGTGTGTACCTATGCAACAATCCTGCATGATCTGCACATGTACCTCAGAACCTAAAGTACAATTTTATATATATATATATAAACATTTAACTTAATGAAATATTTAGAGAAGTGTTCAAATATGCAGATTAAAATTTTTTTAATCTATTTATTCTATCAAACAAGAATGGAATATAACAAGTTGATGTGTCTCAAGGGTCTCCTAGATCAGCAGAAATTATAAACTCTAAACAGGGATCAGGATAAGAGATAATGGTTTGGGTGCTATGAATCTGAAGTTGATAGGTCAAACTAAAAAAGCAGGTAAATCCACCTACAGAGCCTGTGAAAATTTCAAATATTAATTATTATATGAAAATGAATGCAGCAAATTGTTCATGGCAAACTTCATTAAAGTAGATTCAAAGTTATCTCTATTTGAAAAAATAAACATAACTAAATGCAAACTGCTTACTGTTTCTCATAGGACCATGATTTCCTTTCGTTCAGTATTCTACCATAATCAGACAGCTTCTGTATGATATCCTTGACAAGCCTTTGTTGCTTATAGTACTGCATTAGTCTGTTCTCACGGTGCTGTGAAGACATGAACCAGACTGGGTAATTTATACATGAAAAACGTTTAATTGACTCACAGTTCTGCATGGCTTGGGAAGCTCCAGCAAACTTATAAACATGGCAGAAGGGAAAGTGATCATGTCCTTCTTCACATGGCAGCAAGGAGACAAACTTTGAGTGCCCAGTGCAGGAGCAAGCCCCTTATAAAACCATCAGATCTCATGAGAGCTAACTCACTATCATGAGAACAGGATGGGGGAAACTGCCCCCATGATTCAATTATCTCCACCTGGTTGGGCCCACAATATGTGGAGATTATGGGAGCTAAAATTCAAGATGAGACTTGGGTGGGGACACAGCCAAACCATATCGGTTACCATCATTCCTACTCTGCCGCACCATCATTATGATATTTATTTATCTATGATATTTATTTATTTATTTATTTATTTATTTATTTTTGAGACAGAGTCTATTTCTGTCACCCAGATTGGAGTGCAGTGGCACGGTCTTGGCTCACTGCAACCTCTATCTCCCATGTTCAAGTGATTCTCCTGCCTCAGCCCTCCTGAGTAGCTGGGACTACAGGCGTATGCCACCACACCTGATTAATTTTTTTTTTTTTGGTGTTTTTGTATATTAATAGAGACAGGGTTTCACCATGTTGTCCAGGATGGTCTTGATCTCCTGACTTCGTGATTTGCCCGCCTATGATATTTATTTTTTAGCAACACTAAAATTTCATTAATATAATGTCTCCTATGTGACAGGCATTGGACCGTTTACATCACCACACTGAAGAAAATGTTATTATCCAAATTTCTTAGATAAGGTAACTATTCCTTTAGAGAGAAAAATACTTCAGATTGTTTAATAGTAAAACTAAAATTTTAACCTATGTCTATGTTGACTGCTTAAAACACCTCCCTATAAATCCTTATTGATTACCAAAATTAAGTTTGGTAGGCCTTTGTGTTAAGAGAGAATACCACCTTGACAGAGTGCATTAGTTTGTTAGATATTCTGTAACAAAGCACCACAAACTGAGTCACTTAAACAACAAGGAGGTTGCTTTATTTGTTCATTGTCTCACTTTTCCAAGTTTTGTCAGAGTGGGTTCCTTCTAAGGGCTGTCAGAGAGAATCTATCCTACCTCTCTTGCCTAGATTCTGGTGTTTTGCTCTCAGTCTTTGGTGTTTCTTGGCTTGCAGACACAAGACCTGGATTTCTGACTTTAGGTTCCCATGGGTGTTCTCCCTGTGTGCATGTCTCTCACCCCTTTTTGAAAGGACACCAGTCATATTAGTTTAGAGACCCATGCTACTCCAGTGTGATCTTATTGTAACTTAACTAGTTATATCTGCAATGACCTATTTCTGAATAAGGTCACATACTGAAGTACTGGGGGTTAGAATTTTAAACATATTTTTGAAGTCCTAAGCCCCAGTACTTAATTATGATATGTATTTTTGACAATAACCTAACAAATTTTTTGAAGGAGACAATTCAACTTGTGACACTGAGTCTCATCAGGTCCTCAAAATGGGGAAATTAAGAAAGGACATTTATGAGATTTTTAAGTCCAATTTTTATGAATTTTTTCAGTGAGTCATACAAAGTGAAATACTGGTTGGAACTAGGCAGAGTTTCTAACGAATTAGTTTTAGATTGGTGGGCAAAACGAGGAAAGAAACACAAAACATGTTGTGACAAAAAAGTCTTAATACGTACGCCACTTGGTTGATTCATAGTCACCTTGTCACAGAATGATTTCATATATAGGGAATGGAATGACATTGGTTTCCAACTTTATCTGTATAACTTCAAGGCCTGTAAACTACATCATTTTATCTTTCTCTTTCATTATTGACATATCCCTAAGTACTCTGTAATGCTGTTGGATTGCTATAATAAATGGCTCTAAAAAATTCAGTATAAACTTGTTGGCTGACTGCAATCATTGTTGGCATACATTGGGTTAAATGTGTCTTACTTGTGTAACTCTTCAGAAAATTGTCTATCTATTTATCTACATACCCATTTATCTATCATCTATTTATTCTATCTATCATCTATCATCTGTCTCTGTCATCTATCTATCCATTTGTACACATATATTGTATCCCAAGCTCTACATATATAACCTGTTTTCTTTAGGTTTTCAAAAAAAAAGAGAGCTATATTTATATTGTAAGCCATAATCATTTCATATCATGATGATATGAAATTGGTAACTCCAACAATATCATTTTGGATAGTAACATTATTTGCATCCCATATCTTCTTTCATTCTGAAACTTGGCTTCATTTGAAAGTACAATATGAATTAAAGTGTCTCTGATACATTTGAACCATGTGAACACTAAAGTTGATACAATGTATCAACTTTATTGGCAACATAGGAAGCCATGTGGCAGTTCTAACAAAAATATATATTGCTATTGTTTAGAAGTTAGTTTGACAGTATCTAAAATATCATGCTCTCTCTGTCTTGGCATTTCTCAGTAATCATGTTTATCAAAACATTCCATTCCTCCAGCTTGTAAAACATACAGTATATAAAGTAGAGAAGGGATTTCAGAAATGGGTTTTTATGGTCAAGATGTCTACAGATAAGTCTGCATTTGAAAAAAAAAATACATGTCAATTTTTTTGTAAGAAAACTTTTTTTGGTAAATACATGTAATGTTAAGAGTTATAGAATTCTACTCATTTTAATTTATAAATATTATGTGATTTGTAATTAGATCAGGAGAATGAAATCCAGCAATCAACAGAAACCTTAAGGCAATTTAGAATCCTTTTTAATCTTTAAAGAAAATCCAATAAACAGTTGAGAAAAAAATTGTTTAAGAGTTTTAAATGTTTTTTTCTGGATTTGCCACAGGGTCCAAGTTTTCTCTCTGAGGCCTTTTTTTCTACACAATCAACAACAGTTGAAGAAATGGATCCGTTTTTCAACCTTCATGAAACCATTACTAAGGTAGGGGAGAAGTGCATTCATAAATAGGTGGGGAATATTTGTTCTTTTTTATTGGTAGATGGAGCAAAGGAACATAACCAATCAAGAAAAATCCATATATTTTTATTTCTAGAATATATGAGAAAGGGTTTTAGAATATTCTATTATTTTACTAAGGAATAAATAAACAATTTGTTCAAGGTCATGCAGACACATAACTGATCATTTGTATTGCAAATCAATTTTTAATAAAACAATGAGTTATTTTTCTTAATCTGAAAATAGAGTTGTATAACAGCCTCAAATATACCTCTTCACTTTAGATTATAGAAAATACAAAATGGACCTTTGAACTTTTCTGTTTTCAGTAGTTTGTTTAAATAGTTACAATACTTGTTCCTGGTGCTTTTTAGTTGCAGGAAAAAAGCCTGCCTTTTAAAATGAGAAAGACTGCATTTATAATAAGAGAGGCTTTTACAGTATGAGAATCATACATATATTTTTAACATACAGATGTCCCCCAACTTGTAATGGTTCAACTTTCTATTTTTTGACTTTGTGGTTGTTCAAAAGCACTATGCATTTAGTAGGAATCCTAGATCAAGCACCCATACAACCATTTTGTTCTTCACTTTCAGAGCAGTATTCAACACATTATGTGAGATGTTCAAGACTTTTTTTTATCAGATAGGCTTTGTGTTAGATTTTGTCCAATTGTAGGCTAATATAAGTGTCTGAACACACTTAAAATAGGCTGGGCTGAGATATGATGTACAGTATGTTAGCTGTATTAAATTCATTTTCAAAATGTATATTCAACTTATCATGGACCTAACCCCATCATATGTTGTGAAATGCCTGTATTTTTATAGTGGTAAGTTAATTGTATGTAGAAAATTAAGTTTTACAGTATGGAACAAATAAATTTAACGTTCCTAACATCACATGGCATTGTATGGATTTTTACATTTACTAAATATGTATTTAACCTATTTTCACCTGCCTTTTGGGGACAGACTTTGTAAAGAATATTGGCATTTTAGTACCATCAAAATTATCCATATATATGTATATACACACACATATATATGTATAAACACGTGTATATATGTGTGCATATATATATATACACACACATAAACATGTAGAGAATAACTCTAAATGCCCTAACCAAACAACTATGTGATCTAGTTATGTAACAACATTGTGCTTTAATTGTACCATTAAAATAATCCATATATACATATGCAGATATGTATGTATATACACATATATATGTATGTATATGTACACACACACATAAACATGTAGAGATAATGTCTCTAAATGCTCTAACCAAATCACTATGAGATCTGTTCATTTAACAACATTGCACTCCTACCCCATAAATTTATACAAATAATAATATAAACGTTTTTCTATAAAATAGGCTTTGTGTTATATATTGTCCAATTGTAGGCTAATATAAGTATGTGAGCACATTTATGATAGACTGGGCTAAGATATGATAGTAGGTTACCTATATTACATCATTTTGAAATATTAGTGAAATTTTACCAAGCTGTTTTTTTTCTTTTATAAAGAGGAAATATAGTAAAGGGAACTGAGTGAATGTCAATAGAATGAGCTCGGGATAGAAAGATGGGAGCCTGTGTCTGTCTTCGACACTGAAGAGATGTGTGAATTCATTTTTTTCCAAACCTTTAAAATAAGAGGAGATTGAATTACATTTTACTTAAAATTATTCTAAGCTCAAAGTATCTAAATCTTAGCTATACGTTTATTATGTTTGGTGAAATCATCCAACACGAAGCCTATCCCAGCTCCTTTATTTAGTTTTTACTATCTCCCTCCCTTGATCATCCTTTTTTTTTTTTTTTTGAATGTAACAGAATAGAAGTGGCCCCATAACACTTCCTTAGTATTCAAAATCATAGCTGTATTTTTAATACTTGGAGATTTTACACACACACACACACACACACACACACATGTAAACATGCATTAATGAATATATAGTTTAATGAATTCATATGCATTCATAAACATATGATATATTTATAATACTTAGAGATTTTATATATATATATATATATAAAACACACAGACACACACATAAACTTTCATGAATGGACATATATTTTTATGAATTCGTATACATTCCTGTACATATATATGAATATATATATTTAAATGAATTCATATAGAATGAATTCATATTATATATTTGTTCACATATTCTAGATTTTCAGAGTCTATGTTTATTTATTCATTTTTAAGCAAAGCATTACAGAATTTTAGGGCAATGAAATAGTTATTTTTTCTCCATTTTGTTCTGCTTTTATGGCAATCAGTAAAATCAAGGATTTTTGTGGAAGGGATAATTTGAGCCAATGTTTACATGAGACATAAAATGAAATGATGGTGTCTAGCATGTGAAATCCTTAGCCAGAGAAAATGCTAGGCTTTTCAACTCAGAGGTTAAAACATATACTGATGCCTGAGATCTTGGCCACTCTGAGGGATTTCAACTCCTGAGAACATGTTAGGAAGCAGGGATTGGTCAGGAAGGGAGTACAGGGGCACAGAACACATCTCAAACATATACAATTCTTGTGTTTTAATTAGTGTGAAACAGACAGAAAATTAGAGACTGCTAGAGAAAACATAACAAATTTGTTCACAGATATTGGTACGTATTTCACATGTGTTTTCAAATATGTTTGATGTTGAACAGATAGTTATTAACTCATTAAGTGGATGTTGGAAAGAATTATATGTCCAAGAGAAGATAAAACCTGCTGAAGTTCAGAAGCAAGAGTTCTGTGAGCTTTTTGTTTTATTTTGTTTTGTTTTTTGAGATGGAGTTTCACTCATGTTACCCAGGCTGGAGTGCAATGGCGCGATCTCGGCTCACCGCAGCCTCCGCCTCCTGGGTTCAGGCAATTCTCCTGCCTCAGCCTCCTGAGTAGCTGGGATTACAGGCACGCGCCACCACGCCCAGATAATTTTTGTATTTTTAGTATAGACGGGATTTCATCTTCTTGACCAGGATGGTCTCCATCTCTTGACCTCATGATCCACCCGCCTCGGACTCCCAAAGTGTTTTTTTGTTTTTGTTTTTTTATGGTGAGGTATAACTTACCCAATGCTGATTCTGTTTCCTTAGTCATCATGTCTACTTGCACTCATGTTGGAAGCATTGGCCCGGGGATGAAATTGTGCTTCACAAGTTCAGTCTTACTTCTCCAAGAGCAGAGTGGAGAAACCATAAAAGGAAGTAATTCATAGATACTTCATTTTAATGTCAAATTTTATCAAAATCAAAATGAAATAAATAGTGGGGATGAATAGAGTACATGAGCAGAAAATATGAATCATGGATTTTAGTTTTATCTTCACTGCAGAATTGTTATACTATCTAGCAGAACTTTGTTATATTTTCTGCATCAAAAAAAGTACAGTCATAATACCCTTCCTCAGTAGAATTCTGTGAGGTTGAAATAGATGATATATATATTTTCTCTAGAAATGAAGTATGTATTTAATTAAATATTACTATTAACTCATTAAAAAAAAGCTAGTATTAAAATTTTTCATATAGGCCCTTACCTGCATTTTCTGAATTTTATTGCTACTATAAAATATATATCTATGGATAATATAGATATAAACACATAACCAAACTAATTTTCAATGGTAAGAGTACTTTTAGTGTGTACATATAGGATATAAATTTTAATTTGTGAGGAGTTGAGGCCCTTAGAATACTTTTTTCACTAATGATAAGTGGTATTATCATCAATGTATCACAGCATATCAGAGGTATAATATGCTTCTATTCTGCATAATAGTGTGACGTATAAATAGCACTCAGTTTTGAAATTAAAAACCCATCTAGGTATATATTCTAAATTATCAATTATGACAAAATCAAGTTTCACAAAAATGTGAAAAACACTTGGTAAAATTATGAAGCACAATTATTTGTAGTATTATGCCAATATTAAAGCATTTTTAAGAAACTAGAAGTTATTGAAATTCTGAAGAAACTTTTTATTTCTCCCAACAAAAGTTTGTATTTGATATGGCACCATAGCACAATCACATATTTTATATTACCTAATTAAATACAATAAATATGTATATCTAATACAAATGTAAACATGTAATACAACTATTATTCTCTTTCAATGAGTAAGTCTTTTCCTTCTAGACTCTGCTATAGATTACAAGTTGATTTCATGCCAAATCAAACTCTAATTTCTCCATATTAGGAAGATAATAATTTATAAATAGGGTTTTGCTCAATTTAAACAATATTTTATTTTATTTTATTTTATTTTATTATTTGTATACATTTATGGGGTAGGAGTGCAATGTTGTTACATGAACAGATCTCATAATGGTTTGGTTAGGGCACTTAGAGTACTTATCTCCCAAATGACGTACGTTAAACAATAAATAAATAAACCATACTCATACATGGAATGTGAACTGCAAGTCCTTGAAAGTAGTTTTCCACTGTTTTCCTGTAGTTTCTTTTTTTTCAAAGTTTGAATTTGTCTTGGCATTTGTCTTTTTGATATAAAGCATGAAACCTAAGAAAGTAATGGATGAGACTCAATATTGATGCCAATAGGTATAATTCATCATGGCTTCCATGACAGTCAGGTGGCACAGTATAAAATTGCTGAAGGGCAGGCCACACTGCATCAGTGTTGAAGATTTTCTTATCTCCTATAATTACATTAAAAATAGCATGTTTATTTTTAAATTATCATAGAAGCCAAACTAATTCCTTTATTGACTAAACCAAAACATGAATTAAGTGCCAATGGAAATTTTAGGTGCTTAATCATTTAATAAATAAATAAAAATTGTCATGCATTGTTTTTAATAGGCTTATTTCTCCTTCCTCACCTAAGAATTTTCTAGTTATATTTCTAAAATATCACTATTTAGCTCCTAAATTGTTATTAGCTATCTTTGCATTCTAATAGTCTACTATAAGTCAAACA